AACATGACAAATTCTGAAACCTCCAAACATCCACACACACACACACAAAACAATCTGCAATAATTTCGAAAAGCTCCACACCACCTGGCACCGGTTTTCAAGAATATATATCTATGAATCTATGTGTGTATTCATATATAAACATGTGGGTCGAGAGGAAATCTTCAAAGGATGTCAACGGGAGATGTCCTGAAGAAATGCTATGAGAGGAGGTCCTTCGTGGACACGGGAATACGTCCTAAAGGAAGGTCGAAAGATGGCCTGAAAGGATGAAACCCATGATCTCATTGAACATTTAGAAGCCGTCGTGAGAGGAGGTTCTCAAAGGATCAAGCAAATCAAGCGCTGAAAGGGGTGCATGAAGAAGATTTTGGAAAAAATGTCCTGAAAGGAAATTTATGAGGAAACGGATTCCATTCGACGATAGAAATATGATGGCCGAGGCACTGTCATCCGGTGGCCAACAGCCACCATTCTTTGGACGTGTGGAAATGTGGTGGTTTGTGTGGAATTTGCTTTGCTCAAGCTTTATGAGTGCAAAACAAACACCAGCAACACGCAGCAAACGAATGCTTGAACAACGAAAACCGATGAAATTAACATCCAGTTTACACTGAACAACTCCTGGCAGCAAAACAATCTGAAGGCCAACATCAACATTCTTTTCATCTATCATCACAGGAAATGAAGCATGGGCATGCAGAAGTAAAGTTGTCGATCCAGCTGGCACGTCTCGAACAGAAATGTAAATGTCGCTGAAAAGAGTAATCGGCAACAAGTCAGCACATCGGGGCAAGTACCAACTGTCGACGTGGTGTCTCCGTTTGAGCCCTCGGCCCCTGAGGAATTGGCATGCTCTTCTAATTTGAATAGCAAAAGGTCGTCAAGGAAGGCTGTGAGGAATTGCCTGAGAGGTCTCGCAATTGCATTCGGGTTCGTGGGCCCTATCAACTTCCTTTGTAATGCAGTATGAACCTGCCGAACAAAATCATTATAGAGGGTCCCTAAACAATCAAGGAATCCTGAAAAAGGTTTGTTTGTCATAATTGAAGGTCCCTCCAACAAAGGCCCTGATCCCGAATAGGCAGAAACAATCATAATTGAGGCTACCTAAAACAGTCGAGGTCCGACATTAAGGTAAAAGAGATTAAACTATTGGCAGAAAAATGCCTGTCGCCAAAAGCCCTACATCAAGTGAGTTTTTCACTGACATGCATGCGGGACCCTGCCAGGCCATGTTGCCCCGAACATGCTGGTGAAGCAGCCTCACTCACAGGCCAGGTGGCGTCGCCTGCCAGAATTCATCGTTCTGTGAAAATGGGCGAACAAGCATTATGTCGTCTAAACACGCGGCCAGCAGTTGCAACGTCATGTTGTAGAATCGAATTGCGTCTTCCACTTTGGGTAGAGCCTGATAGGGCTGCCAATGACTTTTTGAACTTGCTCATGCCGGGCATGACAGGGCCATACAGAATGAAGTCCAGGTCTCAGTCACCTTCTGCTCCTCGCCCTTTGTGACGAAGGTGAGCCAAGGGGCGAATTTGTTGGAAGGATTTCCAGGTTCAGAATGATAGGCTTTTGTGCTTAAGGTTCAGGGATTGAGGCTAATTAGGAGGTTTACGCTCTCGCAACTCGGACTAGCCTCTAATTAGGAGGTTTAGGGTTCAGGGCTTTAGGACGCATTCTGGTTTTCAAGTTTAGGGTTTGAGGGTCAGGGTGAAGGTTTAAGGTTCCGTGCTTTCGCTACGGGCATCTTCTGCAACCTGGGGCACCAAATATCACCAAATGTTGGTCATCCCCAATAAATGACATGCACATTGTGTAAACACCCCAAATAACACCAAAACCAAGAAAAGCATGCTTACAATGTTCTCATTGAAACCCCTATCTCCCGGAACGAAGACCAAAAAAATCTATCTGCATCCAGAATGAAGCGAGGGCTTCAAACGTGGAACGCACTGGATTAAACATTGAGGTTTTTGCGGTCTGAGCATTAGGGTTTGGGGTTCAAGCTTCATGGAAAACAATCGTGGCAGCCCAAGACAGATAGGACCAGCTAAAGTGCCTTTAAGACCTATGTAGGGGAAGGAAGGAACCGGGGCAAAAAGGACAGGGCAACCTTGTCAGTCGAGGTGACACGACTTTGAGTTGCTGCACTATCCCCCACTGCGCCCTAACCCAGCGATGCAGCGAATGCAAGCCTTTTGGGTCGCTCTTGGTGCATGACGCCTGGTCCGCGGCATTGCAATCTCATCACATGTACCCTGGCTTTGTAAACCATATCTACGAAACAAACCCAAATTGCCACGAACGTTGGCAATAGTTTGAACAGCCACACGACAGTCCCCGGCACTGCAGCAACAGCTCGACCTCTGCGACAGCGTCTTCTTGCAGGCCAGTCTCGCAATGCAAAGCCACCTCTTGCGCTGAGGCATTTCATGCAGGACAGAGCACAAAAAGGCAGGACGTCAAAGGAACTCCGGCGGGGACCAGGTGCAGGAGCAATGGCTGCGGCGCAGGAGGCCGATTTGGATGGAGTATTGACAGGGCAGCACGCAAACAAGCCCTCAATATGCCAGCCCGACAGTCTGGTGTCCCGAAGGATTCTGCCTGCGAAAAAGTTCGAGGGCCCAGTAGCGGCCCGTACAACAAAAGCCAAACATCGTCTGCGACAGTCAGCTCGCAATTGGGCCTGTCGGCCGAATAGTGTCGAAAGCCATCATGAATCATGCGCCTTAAAACGACATTCCACACAAATTGCCAACTCAATATGAATCCAGTGAAAATTGTTATTAAGCCCTTATGGTCTTTAAGTTCGGGGGTGAGGATGAATTGCATGGCATATCATGGCATGTTTGTGATTTTTGCAAGTTCTTGCAGGCAAGGTTTCGGGCTTGCCGTTCGACAAATACATGTAAAAATCAACTTCATTAAACATTGAGGTCAGGAATAGGATCAACACATAGTCAGTATATGGCTCAAAAGGTACATGAAAAACTCATCCTGGCATGGGTTCTAGGATCTGTGCTGGAATGGCTCTTGCTGGCCGGAGCATTGTGCTCTTTCACAGTATGGCGTGCAATATTGCTGATGGCCGCGCAGGCCCTGCCCGTGCCAGTTTTCACTCCACGCCGAAATGAAAATCCCATTCCAAGGTCCAAACATGATAAATGAAGCCATCCAGGTCGCTCAACTTAAGTCACTTCCACTTCCAGCGGTTTGCAGGATACACATATTCAACTGGCATTTTGCGGGATCGTGGTGCAAAAAAATCAAGCTTGGCACCAGAGCTATTGGATCTTCTGACCTTACACATGGCCTTCTCGCGCCCGGCAAAAATTCCATCCGCGGAATCTCCTGTGGAATCGATTGTGCAGGCCCAGGCCCGAGCAGGGACTCTTTGTTTTACAAAAAGGCTTCATAGACACATGAGGGCTTCTTGCACGGCCTTGGATATCATGCACGGTGCACCAAACGTCAATAACTATAACGGTGCCAGGCAAGCCATCAGCTATCAAGCTTACGAAAAGGCAACGCGTTTGATAATTGTCACTTTACATGGTCATGATGCTCATATTCGCCAGTGCAAACAACTAGTGCTCCTCTGCTGCGACGTGCGTGCGACATGTTGAGCATGAGGGTCCATCGCTTCAGCAGCACCCTGGACTGGTCGATTCTGGTTAAAAAAAACGCATGCTTTGTGCACATGAAGCCCCCATAAAGCTCGTCGGGCAAGCCTGTCTCCTCAAGTGGGCTTGCTTGGCAGCACGCTGGCAGCCTTTGAGGCATGGCATCAGCGGCTGCCAACAGCGATCTACAAAAGCACCTCAGATGGTGGGTGTATCTCAAACTTGCCGCAAGCCGCTGGAAGCCAACATGCTGGAACAACGAAATTCATTCGATTGCCCTGCAGATTGCAATCGAATACTCATAGCTTTGAGTGAGATGCATTGTCGACACACTGCGCTCTGCACAAGCATTTGCCTGATGATAAGGGTGATGATGAGACTGATAGTGATGATGAAGATGGAACTGGTGATGAAGATGAAGATGATGATGATGATGATGAACAAGAGGATGATGGCGATAATGATGATGATGATGACGATGATGATGATGATGCTGGTGGTGGTGGTGGTGGTGGTGACGGTGATGGTGATGGTGATGGGATGATGATGATGATGATGACGGTGATGATGATCATGATGGTGGTGGTGATGGTTATGGTGATGGTGATGGTAATGACGATGATGACGACGATGATGTTGATGATGGTGACGATAATGACGATGATGATGATGATGGTGATGATGATGATGATAGTGATGGTGGTGGTGATGGTTATGGTGATGGTGATGGGGATGATGATGCTGATGATGATCCGAGGACCCATGGCTGCATCTGGATGGGTCTTGGCTCTTTTATGTTTTCAGGATATGGTTTGGACTGTTTCATGTCGTGTTCCCGTGTGGAACAAATAAGCGTCCACAGCGTCCTCCTCCCTAGAGTACTAGTAATGTTAGTACCTACTATATACTAGTACTACTACCAGTACTACTACCAGCACTACTACTACTACTACTACTACTACTACTACTACTACTACTACTACTACTACTACTACTACTACTACTAGCACTACTACTAGCACTACTAGTACTGCAAGTAGTACCATTCGTATTACTGATACTATTAGTACTAAGTCGAGTCGTGCAATAATACTACTACTAGTACTAGGCTCCATTCACTTCGTTTGCCGCGCACATGGCGCGGCAAACGGGTTTTCAGTGATGTGTTTCATTGCAACATGCAGAGTGCGACTATACCAAAAACGCTGTTTTCGCACGGGTGGCGTCTTTTTTTTATGTTTTTTGTTCTGAAATTCGCAAAAACATCGAGTTTCTGCTGTTCCGTTCTCTTGCAAATGCGTCTTTTTAAAGCGGCAGCAGCCACGACGTGTCTTGGAACGCCATGTTCGGCGCAAGCATGTCCTCCACGTCAACCTGATCTTGGCTGTTTCAAGTGCATTTTTCGTGGCAGGCGCAGGACGTACGAATATAGGTGGATCTTAAGACCACTAAAACTAATCGTGTGTATGAGATGAGATATTGATGATATTATGGGAGATACTGAGGACAGTATGGGATCTTCATCATCTTCGCCGTCACAATAGAGCTGTGCACTATGTTGTGCAAAAGGCACAGATGCTGTAAATACCAGTTAAGTATGCTCGCACCAGGCATCACCGCTTATGACAGTGCGCCTTATGCCAGAAAGCCAAACATCCTTCTGCGGTATGCCGCATATAGTGGCAAAACACTGTAAAACCAGTGGTTCGGGCACGCTTGCACAAGGAACGTAAACGATGACCATGCCGTGATGATGAAGAGGATGACGATGACCAAGTGGACGTCATCAAGCCCCCCCCCCACCCCGCCCCGAAAGTCACCCCTCAAGCGGCAAACGAGGGTCATGGAGCCTAGTACTACTTCCAGTACCACTACCAGCACTACTACTAGTGCTAGTTTAGCACTACTACTTGTACTACTACTAGTACTGTACTGCTACTACTGCTACTACTGCTAGTACTACTACTACTACTACTACTACTACCACCACCACCACCACGACGACGACTACTACTACTTCTATGATGACTACGACTACGACGACGACTACTACTACTACTGCTACTGCTACTACTACTACTACTACTACTACTACTACTATTACTACTACTAGTACTAGTACTAGTACCAGTACTAGTACTAGTACTGCTACTAGCACTACGAGTACTGCAAGTAGTACCATTACTACGCGCAGGAGTAGATTGCCCACGGCATTTGGGCATGGGATTTGGAAGCTGCCTGCGAGGGTTCAGGCTCTCTGTGCGTCCGTCAGGTTAGGGCTTCAGTCTCCTCCCGGTCGATGCCAGCTTTAAGGTTTCTTGTCAACGATCTCACCCGCAGATTTTCCTCATAACAAACACAAACTTCTTCAGCATCATGTCACGATGTCCATGTCAAGCCAAGGCAGTGCCAACACGTCATCCTTTCACGATGATGTATGATGATGCTGATGGGGTCGTCCGTCCTCTTCGTCCGGTTCACGATGCAGATGGTAACGTTGTACAAAACGTCTCAGAAGTTCTGAACCATCTAACCGTCTTCAGAGTGCGAGCACTTGCTTCTGCGTCGACCTCTGGTCCCACATATCCAGATCCATTGGGTGCAATGATGCGACGGAATACGGCAAGTTTGGCTCAATGCTGCTGTGCCCGCTAGTCCCCTCTGACTTTAGAACGTGGCCATTGGCGGTGCAGCTCAACGTGCTGTCCTGTCTTTCGGTGGAGGACCGCACACACACACACCTGCAGTGGTGTAGCCTCGTGCAGCACGAGCCAACACTCACGAGGCCGTGGCAGGGCATGCTGTGCGTGTGTCAACTTTCCCTCCCCCACTTGACTACGACCCCAATCTTAAGACCATGCTTTTTGGAGCTGTCAAGATTGGTCACAGAGAAGTCATGAAGACTTTCATATTCGAATGCCCTGCAGGTTCTTGCAAGGACTTGAGGGCTTCCTGCCGCCACCACGAGCTCCGTCGCCAGCGCCCACTCAGCTAGACCCGGTGGAGGTGGACGTGCAAGACCTCGGCGGCTTCTTGGACCCGGAGACACCTCCCAGAGCACCGCGACGCCAGCCTCCTGATTACACGCCACCGGTCCATGGGCAAAGGAGGCCTCAAGATTAAAGCCAAAAGCAAACTTGGGAAGTGCAAGAGGATCAAGAAGGACCAGCAGCTGGAAGAAATCAAGGCGATGAATGCAGACTTCAAAAAGCATCATATAGAATATGCGCCGAGCACAGCTTCGATACAGTCCGTGGCCTTGAAGGAGTTGCAGGACGAGATCTCCTACCCCGAGATCCTGCGGTACACAGATAAGGCCCTGCGGTCCCTGCTGTTGGCCGAAGGCGTGCTGCGCTCGAAGAAGGAGCGGCCAGTGATCATGTGTTGGTCTTGCGGCAGCCGCATGGAAGCCGCAGACAGCCGAAGTACCTCACTCCGCTGCTCCGAGGGGCGTGCATGCCCGACGCGTGCAAGGCTCAGTAATGTGGACGATGCCTTCACACCCTTCGGCCCGACGGCAGCATCTGGAGGCGACAAGGACTTCGCAACCTTCGTCAGAACCGCGTGGTGCTACGGCATGAAGGCACACATGTATGTACATATGTACGCATGTATGCACATATACACATGTACATATATGCGCACATGTAAATGCTAACGGATCGGTCCGATCCCGGAGGACAACAGGGAACAGGTAAACCCCACACCCTAATCCTTCAGCCCCGAAGCTTTCCTGCAGCCCCCCCTTTTTTTTGTGCCCTCCAAACGGCCAAGAAGAACCGTGGGACCGGAGGGCAAAAGGGAAGGGGTAAGCCCTAAGCCCTACGACCCGATGCCCGGAACCGTTTTTCTTTGCGCCAAATGATTCGAATATGACATAACATAACCCTCTTCATCTTACGTCCCGATCTGACAAATCAAGTCGGATGACTTGTTCCGATCTGACGAAGTTGATCCGATGCATTCACTCTGCAAGGCAAATCTCACGCAGATGGTCTCATACTCATTTGGCATGTTTTTCCCACATCTGCGTCCATCAATACGAATTCCCAACGTTTTCATAATGGTGACAATTGAAAATCTAGCTTCCAAGCAAGTCGGATCAATCTTTGAAATCTGACGAAGTTGATCCGATGCAGTTTTTTAATTACTGCGATAGCACATCTGACGAAGACGATCCGATGCAGATTTGGCAAAAATATTCACAACTCCGTGTCAATCAATATGACTTCAACCTATCTTCCAATCAACTTGGAAGAATTGTTCCTATCTGACGAAGCTGATCCGATGCATTGACTGGAATCGGCAAAGCAGACGAAGATGATCTGATGCAGATTTCGCAAAAATTTGCCCAAATCCGAGTCCTTCCCAATGTTTTACAATGCAGAGAACCTCGCTCCTGATCAACTCGGATGAATGTTCCAAATCTGACGAAGTTGATCCGATGCATTTTTCGGCGATAGGTGAACGTGACGAACACGATCCGATGCCGATTTCAAGAAGATATGCAGATTTCCCTGTCATTCAAAACATGAATTCTCAAAGTGTTCATTGTGACTCGAATCTGTCTCCAACCAAGTCGGATGAATTGTTCCAATCTGACGAAGTTGATCCGATGCACTCAGTCTGCAAGGCAAATCTCAAGCAGATGGTCTCATGCTCATTTGGCACGTTTTTCCCACATCTGCGTCCATCAATACGAATTCCCAACGTTTTCATAATGGTGACAATTGAAAGGATCAGACCCGAGGCGCACGGAAGGGAGAGGAAAGGCGAAGCGTGCGGCACCACTCCCTGCATGCAGCCCTGCTCAAATATAAAAAGAGAATTAATTCTCTGGCTGTGCCCACAGAATCCTCTCTTTGCTGTTTGTCTACCATCATACTAGGCAGTACTCATACACATACACGTACACATAAACATACACATACACGGACATGGACATAAACATACACGTAGCATAGACCTGCGAGACAAAGGAAACTCAAGTCGGTGTAAGTGTTACTCCGAGACGGTGTCTCATCCATCTAGCCGTCAGGCTGGGGCAGATCAGACAGCTCACCTCATTCGCGAGCCGGGGGAGAATTTGCTGACCGTGCACAAAAAAGTGCAGCGCCACAGACAGCTGCATGCCATCGCTTTGGCATACAGCGAGATGGAGCACTCGCAGCGGGTCCGCTTCAAGTACGTCGTCGTCGAACCAGACAGCGCGCGCTTCGGGAAGCGGACCACGGAGGATGGATCCGCTCGAAAGCACGTGGCCAGGACCTTCTGACCCAAAGAAATTCCGGCAGTAGTCACGTTTCGGGTGGATATTCGTTTAAGGGCAAGGTCAAACACATAGCAGCAAGGTCTTTCTGGAATAGCGTCCTGTCGGCTTCAATTATAGCTCTTATTCCCAGTGCTCAAGATTACGCCTTCTACGCCCTATAGCCTGCTTTGAATTCCCATACAGTCAAGTTACTAGTCAAGTTAGCTATCCAAGAAAAGCCCGACCAAGGACGTTGGTCTTGAAGGGACGCAAAAGCAAAGAATGGACGGCTACTCCGTTGCAGCCAAGTCTGTCGCAGGGCAAGCGTGGCATGCCACCCGAGTCTCTGGACGAAGTCTTGGGTCCCATGCAGAAGCAAATCCGTCGTGGCTGCATTCTAGCGCCTGATGGCGGCCAGGCCTTCAAAGCTGCGGCGGGTGCCTTCCAGAAGCCGTTGCTGCCAGGGGTGAGGCATGGGCAAAAGCTGTTCACGCCCACAGCCGTTCTGCGGGGCTCTTCTTGCCAGACTGAGACGAAGAAGAGGACACTGACGAAAAACATCGCCAAGAAGTCCGGGCGAGACTACAAAATGGCTGCTGGCGACAACTGCGCCGAAGGCTTGCTCGGCAACATTAAGACGACGCTGAGGACTGGGATCTTTCGACTAGAACCGTGCACAAACCGAGAAACTGGCAGCTTCATTAGCAAACGTTTACCGCCTTCGCCATCTCCACTGTTGTTGCTTCCAGGAGATCTGGTGGCATCCGCGCGCAGCGAGACAAGCTCTCCTCCCTTCGCGCTCTCAGTGCGGCCGCTTTGCTTCGACAGCCGGGCTTGCGAAGAGTGCTGCAGGCCGCTCTGGCCACAGACATGTCAGGCTTCTTCGGCTTGAGGTCTAAGATAGAGGATGTCTGGTTCGCTTTTCAGGGTTTCAAGCTTCTTGTTCTTTTTGCGGTGTCGTGTTTTTGTCTGGTGCCCGAATTCCTATCAACTGCGGCAGGCGCACGCAGCTTATCGACGTGCGCTCGAATCCGGAGTTTTGAAGCTCTCGCCCACGCAGGCTTATGCGGTTAACAGCATTTCCTGGCTCGGCCTGGCAGAAGATCAGGTCGAGACGTAGCAAAAGGCAGCTTTTGCGCAAACAGCTCTCCGGAACACTTTCCCTTGAAAATCCTGCAGTTCTAAGGGAGAAAGCTACCCCAACACAGAAACGAACATCCCCTGAGCAGCTCCAACTCGGCAGTTGGCGCAAATGTTGTGCTGGCACACGAGTGGCAGGACCACTGCAAAGTACCGCGCCCGCCACGCAAAACGGAGTCTGCTGCAAATGCAGCCACAGCGGTGCGGGCAAACCTATGCCTCTGGCCGCATTACTACTACTAGTACAATAAGTATAGCAGTACTACTAATATTTCTAGCACTACTAGCACTATTAGTACGACTAGTAGTACTTGTACTCAGCATTTGCACTACTACAACTTCTAGTAGTACTACTGCTTCTAGTACTACCACTAGTACTACTAGTACTACAAGCACGAGCACGAATAATGTTTGTAATACTGGTAGTACTAGTAACTAGTAGTAAAAAACACTAATCGTACTAGTAATACTAGTAGTACGAATAGTACTCGTACTGCTAGTAGTACTTGTAGTACCAGTAGTACTAGTAGTACTAATAGTACTACTAGTACTTGTAATACTAGTATACTAGTAGCATTGGTAGCACTGGCAGTACTACTAGTCTCCTCCCTTCGGCTGTGCACACGGCCGCAGAGCAAGGTATGTCTCATGCGCTCAGACTGCCTGGCGCTGTTTTCCTTCCCCGGCGCCCTCCCCGAAGACTATTTTATAATTGCGAGGCACAACAAGTTTCAATAGTGGTGGCCCGCGCACACACGTCCCTTAACCCACCGCGAGGCCGTGCAACGGATTCTAGTCACCGACCTTGGCCTTACCAGATTGCAAACCCCAAACGTACCCGCTGTTGGGGAATTCCAGATGTTGCAGCTGTGCGTAATTTCCTTTTGCTTCCAATCCCCTATGATTCACTGGCTACAATCCGAATGTAGCCTGATTCCTGACCCAAGGAAGCCCAATCCGTGCTGGAAGCTTGCCTGCGGCACTTGCAAGCTTACTCGAAGCTGGCCAAGCAGGCAGCAGATGCTGGTGAGTGTCTGGTCCGACATGTATCAAAGTCGTTGTGATTTAAAAGTGGAGCTACAGCATCTTTACAATATTTTCAGCCGAGGATGGCTTGGCAGATACGGCCAAAGCATCACGTGATGCATCACCTGGGTCTGGACATGGTGGATCAGCTCTACTCATGCAAGTTTTTTTCACTGCTTCCGCGACGAAGCAGCGATGAAATATGCAAAGCGAATCTCGGCGAAATTACCCATGATGTCCTACGGAGCTGTAAGCCAACTCTCGATGTAATTCTTTCTCCGAGGTCTAGCGCAGAAGTGCCACCAGGATGGCATCTTGAATTTTATTCGCAAACTTTGATTGTTGTCAGGCTCTTATGATCAAGGAGGTTGGGCACAGGCAACTGTAGCATGTGTCTCGGAAGTTTGCCACGGTCTCGAGAAAACATGAGAAAACGTTGCTTCAAAAAATGGTATATGGGGCTTCCCGGCTTTAGATACATGCTTGATAGTGCAACAAGTTTTCACCGCCTCCCTATACCCTGAAAGCTCCCTGAATTTCGCCCCAGCTACAAGAATGTCCCAGCCAAGACGCGCCAGGGCAAGCCGAGCAGCAGTGGCAGCCGCCGGGCGTAGGGGGGTACTTAAAGGTTTAAACCTGTCCTAAAACCGATAGATCTCCATATCTTCACACATATATACACTTATGTGCTAAATCCGCCCTGGTGCAATGTCCAGCTGCCGAGTGTTTCATGCAAGCACCGAGCCGAATCCAAAGCTGGCTGCAAAGAAGGTCCGCCGGCTGTTGTGGAAGATGAAACCTTCGAACCTTAAAACCCCAACCTGCCCCAGCCCAGCCCCTTAAATTAAACCATTAAACCCTGAGCCGGCCAAGCTCCCGCAACTAAAGTTTGGTCTTCCGTCCGGGGCATTTAGTTCGGTGTCAATACTTCAGATAAACGATTCAGGTGTGGCATATGTCATGGGATGCGCATTTGGGGCCAGGACTTCCAAGGCTCGAGGTGAAGGAATTCCGGGATGTAGTGGCTAGGTGGTGCAATTTTGGGGATGTAGTGTATGCATTTCCAATAGCTTGGGCCGAAGAAGTCTAATATATTCGATGGCTTATGTAGCTATATGTTGATGGATGCAAAAACCACTATCAGCCCGATTCCATATGTTTTACTCCAAAACCCCTGATGCCGCATAATTCATAGACTTTGCCGAGACCTTCATATATGAGGTCTCGTATAAGGTTGAAGCAACCCAAGACCCACGATGTTGTTGTTTGACCTTTGTTGCATAACCCTGATGGAAGCGGCTCCCCCCACTCCCGGAAGTGCTGCAACTATTCAGGGCTCTGTAGATTACGTATTTTCTCTCCTATGCACATCTACAAAAATTTTAGAAGCTCCCTGGAAACCGTAGCTAATCCAAACCAATGAATATGTGTCCCTACAGCCCTCTATATATGTACATAAGTCCAAAACCCGACAGGGTGTAGAACTCTACAAGCCCGAGCCCCACACTAAAAGCCCAAAGCCAAACCCAAAAAGGCCTTTACAGATGTGTCTTTCAGTTGAAGCCAAACAGCAGGCCCGGCGACAGCACATTGTGTCAGGACTATACAGATAGGTCCGCGGGATCCAGTCAATGGGATTTTCTACATATAAAGACCTATATAAGCAATCATGTATAGAATTCAGGGTTGCGTGTGGGCTTCTATATGAATGCAGCTAAATAAATTGTATGTGTGCAACTTATGAGAATGAACTATAGGTCCTGGAAACCATCACTCTGAGCCTGGTGTGCAAGGCCTCTACAGTCTGTATGGATTTTACAGCGTTTCTCAGTCAGCCTTATATGCAGTCTGCTTACGCAATAAATCCCGCCTAGCCACGGTCTCTGTATGGTGTCTGCTCTAGTAGCCACAATATACCCTCTAAACCCTATATAGAACCCTATATATAAACCCTAAACCCTATTTTTCCCTAAACCCTATAAACCACCATATAGATAAGCCTCCAGCCTGAGCAGGATTTCGAGTTCCTGGAATTCTTCGCGGGCCGCGCGAAACTGACGTATGCCATGCGGAAATCCAGGCGGAAGTCCGGACGCTTCAACATACTCTACAATTCCAGGTTTCATAAAGGGGGTAAGGTAAGGCGGCCAGGATCTGACCACAATTCGAAGTACATGGATTTGTGCACACCTGCAGGCCTGCAGGTTTTGCGCTCCCTGTCAGATTGGCTCCAGTTTCGTTTCGTGGTGCCTGCTTGTTGGTGTAAGTCTATATACAATCAGAACATCTTGGGTCTTTCATTGTTGTGCACTGCTGGGCAAGCTTGCCAAAACTAAGTCTCGCCATTTACTTCGTCTTGAGGGGCATGGCTGGGAAGCTCTTTGCAACATTTGCAAATCAGTGCTCTACTTTCTGCACACTCAACGGAGGGACCTCAATGCGAAGCCAGGCCACACCTTTTGGCAATGTCAGTCATCCCTCTGTGAAAGAGGGCAACAAGATGCTGGAGAGGATTGGCTTTTCATCTTATTTCAATTCTATTTGGTATGTACATTTTCCAACTACATACTTTGATGGTCCGTGTGCTTCTAGGAGATTGACTGCATACTGCAAGGGTTTCAACTTTTGCTTTGAAGAGTTAAGGCAGTCTGTTGTACACACGGGTATCCGATATATGCTTCTATACTTCATACAGCTGGCTTTACAGGAGCACCCTCCTCATGTACTTGGTCACGGTTGTGGGCGGGGTATGGTTTGTTTAACAGCCTGGTGGTCCCAGCCTGGAGTTCTACCCGTGCTTCCGGGACATGCTTCGTGCGCATTGGGATGTGAGCGGCCCTTGTTCCGTGTAAGACTTAGTACGATCCACAAAGAGTGTGGCATGGTAAGGGCTAATTCGATATACATTATAACAATTCAGAACGCCAGCCTTGCCGAGGTCTTCCGGGTTTCCTGGTGGATGGCCCACTATGGATCCTCGACTCCGAAGAGACACTATGGCTGGTGCAACTCGGAGAAAGTGCAGGGCCTCGACCGGGGCCGACTGCACTTGAAGCAGTGGGCCAAAGCAAATGAAGGGAGGCAGCTGAAAACCGTGAAAAGGGCTCCCATGCTACTGGCCAAGCTAGCTGGACTGGAACGAGTGCATTGAAGCCTACTCAGACACCCAGCCCTCATCATTGCATGTTAATCTGTCCAACATGAGCATGCGAAAACGACCTTTGCTGTTTCACTTCAGCGAGCAGCCAAGGGAGTATCCGATGAGGTTTGCACGGGAGCTGGTCAAAGTGGCAAGCAGCTTGGCTTTGCATGGACAGGGTGCCCACCTCTTCCGAAGGATGGTTGCCCAGCTGCTTTGGAGACCTTTGCATCCATGCAGTACAACCAGCACGAGGGTTCGTTCGACTTTGCCAAATTTGCTGAGCTCTATGTTTACTTACGGGGCGGTGTGGGTCTCGAATTTCCTACTCAAGCCTGGAAAGATGTGCTTCGAAGAAAAGCACCCGGCCAGGCACAGGGCTCTTGAAGCCGCTTATCCCGCCTTGCCCGGAAGGAGAACTCGAAACCTGGCTTTCTTCTATAGGTGGTGAACTGTAGACTGCCACTAGGTCACTGGGAGGTTTCGTGCGAGGTTGGTTGGGCTCAGGAGAACTATATAGAGAAGCATTCGGTGTTCTGTTTATATAGGTTGGGAATGGTTTTTACACCTTTAAACATGTTTTGATACGCGCTGGGCACCGCGAGACAGGCAAGAACCCGGCTTTGTACGAGAACCCGGTTTTCACCCATACAAAACCCATAATTAACCCGTCGGAACGCGTATAAACCCATAACCCTGTAAAACCTCGGTTTCCCCCAACCCGTCCGCAAAGCGTACGCAACCCATAATTAACCCATCTAAACCCATATTTAGAATCTGGGTTTCTGTAGTGGAAACCGGGTTTTTCTCATGGT